TGTTTTTGTGGTGGGTGTTGGGTGTGTGTGTGTTTGTGTGTTTGTGTGTGCCCAAGCACGAGGGTGTGTGTGCATGTGTGGAGACCAGGGGTTGACGTCGGGTGTTTTCTTTTATCATTCTCCACCTTATATATTGAGGCGAGGTCTAATTTGAACACAGAGCTCACTGATTTGGCTAGTCTAGCTGACCAACTTGCCCCAGGGGTCTCAATCTCTGCCTTCCAAGCACTGGGGCTACAGGTGGGTGGGCCCCACAATGGCCAACCCCCACTATTAATGTGGTTGCTGGGCATCCAAATCTGGTCCTCATGCTTGTGTGGCAAGTACTTTACCTGCTATGCCATCTCTCTAGTCCTTTATTGCTCAGTTTTTTTGAGTTCTTTGTGTATTCCAGATACTAATCCTCTGTCATATGTACATCTGGCAAATAATTTCTCTCTTTTCAAAGACTGTCTCTTCATTCCATTAACCATTTCTTTTGCTGTACAGAAATTGGGTTTAATTTCACGAGAGTCTATTTTCTATTTTTCTTTACTATATTTCATGTGCTATGAGAAGCCCGCTACAGACGACCACTCAGACACAGTATATAGCCAATTGAAAGTGTCTTTTCCAGCTGCCTGGGACTACACTTAGGGATTCAGGTCCTAAGTGTAGGTAGCACAGTGTCCAGAGCACAGAGTTTCTGAAGGCAGAAACCATGCCCTGGCATCTACAGGGGTGTGTGGGGGTGGGGTAGGGATGGGAGCTGTGTATACACAAGCAATTTGACAGAAGCTAAGTTAGCTGGGACATCTTGACCTGGGGCTCCTAGAATAGAGTTGGATAATTTTCCATGGGATTCTGTGTCAAGGAGATAAAATTCTAGTTAAGCCTGAAATGGCCTCAGCAAGAATACAAGATGGAGAAACTTCTGTACTGTCTTGCCCTGTCACACCTGGGTGAGTAGAGTTCTATTCAGAAAGTCCTTACTATGAACATATCTTGAAGCATTTTCTCTCTTTTTTCTTTATCAGAGTCTCAGGTTTAACATTAAGGTCTTTGATACTTTTGGAGCTGACTTCTGTGCAGGTTGAGAGAAAAGGATCTAGTTTGAGTCTTCTACATGTAGGTGTCCAATTTCCCCAGCACTACTAAAGTGATTGTCTTTTCTCCAAAGTGTATTTTTCTTCTGACTCTGCTGAAAGTCAGAGGGTTGTGGCTGTGTGGGTTTGGCGCTGGATGTCTATTCTGTCCTGTTGATCGGCATGCCTTTTTGTGCCAACGTTACGCTCTTTTCCTTACTACAGTTCTGAAATATGACTTGAAATCAAGAATAGTGTTAGCTCTAGGATTATTCTTTTTGCTAGAGATCACTTTGGCTATCCCAAGTCTTCTATGATTCCAAATGAAACTCAAGACTTTTTCTTTTATTTTTGTGAAAAATGGTATTGGGATTTTGATGCAGACTGCATTGAGTCTACAGGATGATAAGATACCCATTTTTACACTATTCCTTCTTTTCAGTCCATGAGCATAGGTGGTCTTTCTACCACTGAATGTCTTCATTGTCTTTCTTGAGTGTTTCACAGGCTTTCACAGTAGAAGTCCTTGGCTTCCTTGCAAGGTGTCTTTCCGAGGCAGTTGTGAGGTGCCTGCTGCTTCCAAACTGAGAAAGCTAGTTAGTTGTCAACACCATCAGAAATCGGAGAAGGATAAATTATAGCAGGAAGTATAACCCAAATGGCCTCTGTGTTGATTAAGGTGCCAGAGGCTTACCAGCTAACTGGATTACCCCACTAGGCTCTGTGGTCTTGATGGCTTCATTGCAGGGCAGAGGTTATAAGTCTTGGGTTGTCAAACATGACAGCATTTTTTTTTTTTTTTTTTTATCTTCAGTTGCTGCACCTGTCAGACCCAGAAGGTCTGAGATTTTCCGGTGGATGAGGAACTCATGAAAATTGGCCTATCTTGACACAGGCAGAGTAGGGCAGTCAACCTAACTGTCCACAGTTTGTGCAGGGCCTGGAAGCAAGTGAGGCATGGAACAGT